CACTTGAACACGATGCTTGCTGTGGCTTGTGAAGATGGCCGGGCTATGCTGCTGAATGTAGACGATCGCAGAGTGGTTGCAGAGTTTGGTGCTATTGGTGATTCGCCTGTAAAGGCTGTTGCTTATGATCAGGAACGCGACCGATTGGTTACTGGTTTGGCTGATGGCTCTGTTTGCGTATGGTCCACTGAATCTTCTCGACCCATTTGTTCTTTTACCCGTGGCCGGTCCCCCATTGCCTCGTTGTGTCTGGTGCAGCAGCCTTCGGGCTCTCCGCTGGTTTGTGTTGGCACCTTGGATGGCCAGTTGTTTTTGGTATCTATTGACGATACGGTTGATGTGGTTGAGGATCTGGTTGCCTTTGATGTGGATCCCATTAGCCATATCAAGGCCATTCCTAGTACTAGCTCTGGAGCTACCCGTCAGTCCATTTGGGCTGCAGGTCAAGATAGTCGCGTTTGCATGTTTTAACAAAAAATCCTTGTTTCTTTATTACAAATACTCTATGCTACCATTGAGTGCTGCGTTAGACACTAAATCAGCCGATGATGTGTTTCCCAATGGCCCACTCATCTCCAGGTCCTCGGCCTCCTGCCGCATCAAGTCAATATAGTTTTTAGTCGTAGCTTTCTCTGGTGCTGCCAATGCCAGTTCCTTTGTTTCTTCAAAGTATGAAGGGAACTCTGATGCATAGCATACTCGAGACACCGGCGAGTTCGACATGGACCGATCTGCAGGCTGCTGCCGATGACACGGATACCGCATTGTGTGGTTCTGTCGGTTGTACTTTAACATCGATGTTTCGGGGTCTTGCTCTTCGATTCCCAGAATATCGTATAATGTTGGAATGGGCGATTTCGATTGCTGGGCTGCTGATTGAGTCGTTCCGTTGGCAAATACACTGCTTGCAAATGCTGATTTAGCGCTAGCTGTGTTTGGTGTCCACTCTTTGTTGCCGAATGTTTTGGGTTGTGAGGCTGTAGAGGACGGAGTCCACTCTTTGTTGCCGAAAGTCTTGGGCTGTGTATTGGTAGAGGCCAGAATCCACTCCTTATTGCCAAACGCCTTTGGTTGCGTAGCTGTAGAAGCGGGCGTCCATTCTTTGTTGCCAAATGTTTTTGCCTGGTTATTAGCTGAAGCTGGCGTCCATTCTTTGTTGCCGAACGTCTTTGGCTGGTTATTGGTAGAGGACGGAGTCCATTCCTTATTACCAAATGTATTTGGCAAAGTTGCTGTGGAATCTACTGTCCACTCCATATTTTTCGATCCCGGGTTTAACAGTGAATGCGCTGGAGGCCGCCTTGCTCCAGGTACAAATGCCTTGGCCCCAGCATTCAAAGCTGTTTGTGGCTTCGAATGTTTAAATATACAGTTGGGTCGTGTACACGTCCCGCCATTCTCTTCGTTCCGACAGGGCACTTCGCTAGGAGGCAACACAGCTTTCTTCATTTCCGCATGCCGCTTACCACAGTCCTCCTGTGAGCAACCGCCGTATTGAGCAAACTCATCGCATATCTCCTGTGTATTACGCGCCCCTTCGCTATGCCTGAACGGGCAGTTGTCTCCGTTGCGGCAAGTACCTGTTAAAAAGAAATGACAATCCACTGTGCTTTTCGCCATTACAAACAAAGAAGAGAAGAAATTGTTCAAGTCAGTATCACGTGCGTGACGCCTGAAATATTTTGCAAATAAGCAGCCAGTAAAACTGCGAGCCAATTAGCTCTTGAAAAGGTTCATTAAAGTGAGCTGTCTAAGTAAGGGCTGTTATGGCTTTATTTTGCCTCCGTCTGTAAGAGATCCTGGACAAGACAAGCGAGAGAAAGCTGGTGGAATTTATTAGCGTACTCACTTTAACATGTGTGTCTGCTTTGTCACCCACCACACACGTTATTTTCAGAAATAGAGGGTACAAGAAAAATGCAGGATGAGGAAGAAAACTTTTAGTGTCTCTTTGCTCTATTTTGTAGAATATGTGCTGAGAATGAACCTCACTGTTATATTAGCATATAGAGCTCATATGCTATTGTACAAATAATCATGTAGTACTTTCTGTTCGGAATTGCAGTAAAGTTCACCCAGCTCGGGCTGCAGATGTAAACAGTGGATAGTGATTACAAAAGCGGTTCTTTAGTAGACATTACCATTGAGCTTATGCTTGTTTAAATTTTCCAGGCTGCATAAAAATATTATGGTTTTTCTGGATATGCCATCATTGAGGTGGATAAAACTTAAACTAGCTGCTCTTAATAGTCGTTGTGTGTAATAAAACAGAAAATTAGCCAGCAATGCAAAGAGGGTCTAATAAACACCTGCTGATATGCTGCCATAGAGCTTATGCGCCATTGCATGAATATACATAATAGCAGCTTGTAAAAACAGCTTCATTAAAATGTGGACATTGGAACGGCTTCAATTACTAGTATACTAAATTGCAAATTAACAAGTCTGCGCATCTTTCTATACAAAGCACATTATAAATTATGTTAGATGTGGGAAGTATTAAATTAAAACTGTGATATGTTTAATATAGAAGCTGCTGTTTTTAATGGCTAAACAGCAAGCGATTATTCCTAAACGTGTAGTATAAAAAGAATTATTTCTGCGCTTTTGTTAAAACAACACAAGTATCGAAACACTGAAATGCCTAAACCACAACATCCTACGAAGCCTCCAAAGCCTACAACGCCAGGCGTTCCTAAACGTTAAATTACTTTATTTAAGTAAACCCAGAGAACAGTGTGTATGTAGCAATGCATGTCTTGTTTTCTGGAAATAAATAATAGTCAAATATATACTAGCATATAAGCAATGCAATGAATAATGGCCCTTTATTCTATAATTTTGTACGTTCTACAGGAGCCACAAATCCATTGGTATGCAAGTGAACTTGCAGGCAGTTTTTTTTTAAATATTGTAACATATGTTTTAAAACAAAAGAAATCCAGAAATTAATAACATGGGCAAACATTTACTATGTGTTATGTGGATAACCTGCTGCTCCTGTATTAGATTACAGGCCGAATTTATAGTCCCTGTTAATGAGCTGATTATTACACTATCCTTTTGTCACATCCAGGGCCTCAATGTGTTCAAGCGTGCTTTAAAATAGCCTGGATGCGATTAAAGCTACTAGTTTGTAAATTAAAACCATGTTTTAATTCAAAGAATACAACAACAAAGCAAAGTATACTTACATGGCGTAAATGGTATATTATAATGCTTGGTGCAAAAAAATTCTAAATTATCTGCTGCAACTGTATTGTATCTGCAAACAAAAAATGCTAGAATTCCTGCCAGTCAGACAACACGAGGTTGATGAATGGGAAAATGCAGAGTTCCCCAATTTTTGCGCCTTTCATGCATTTTCAAAGACTTGAATTTTGAGCAAAGGAAGCTTCAGTGTAAAGCGTTGCTTTGAGGCAACATTTTTACAACGCACAACCCTTGTATGAATACTAAAAATATAAAGCGAAAGCTACAAAATATTCCTCTTGCCGGAAAACGTCCCATATAAAAGAGGATATTTTTCCCCTATTTTCTATTTTTCTTCATCAACCTCACCACCATTATGAGGATATTAATACCAAACAGTTATTTTGATTGGTGGTTAGCGTGTTGGATTGTTGAACGAATAAGACAGAATACAGGAGCATCCCAGAACACAAATGATTGCTGGGGGTCCCAATGAGACAAAAGGAAAAAGCGTGATGATCAGCCCATTAAATCATAATGAAAAGTTAGTTTACACTCTGCTTTAGGTGCGGTATGTTACCCTCATAACACAATCCAATAATAGAATAAGACTAAGTACCATTAGATAACTCTTTATGCTAGCTGTCTTATGTTTGTGAACAGACTAATATTAGCTCTTTTGTCCTTTTGAGCTCATGAATGAATATAGCTCCATGAGTTATCATCAGATTGTCTAAATTGATTATTCAAATTTCGTATGTTTAGATACATTCAAAAGCTCACAGATTCTGTATTGCTGGTGTTATATAAAATTATGTATTTTCCTTTTTGGAACCAGCTACGGTTTTCATTATATATCTGTGCCAAGCTTTGCTGGCTCTGATAAGTGGCATGATGTGATCAGGGTTTATACCTGGCTCTCAATCATACAACAGCTGGGCTTGTCAAATGTGCTATCTCAATGTGATTATTGCTGGCAAATAGTAGCCACTGGTTTGGGCTAGCATAGGAGCTAAATGATGGTGTTAATGTTTGTATAATGATACTTTAAATGTTGTGTTTTTGCATTAGGATATATATGATTGGTTTTCAGGCATTCTGAGCATTGTATTATATGTCTGCCTAGTGCTGTAATATGCCCAATAGTAAAAAGGGCGAATTAAGGACATACCCAGGCTATCTGTGAAACTAAGCACATATCTTCTTTGAGCCATTGGAGACAAGCATCAACTTTGCTCCAGATGTAAATCTACCAATAAAACAAGGAGTTGACCGGTTGACTTGGCTTAAGTGACCTTCTAGCTCTGCTACTTTTTGTTGCATATGCGGCCAAGCCACACACAAGAGGCATTGTCAGCTGTAATGCTATTTAGTTTCTCTTTAGTTATTTCTTAAAATGCCAAACTCGACCAGCAACAACACAACAGCATGTTTAAAAAAAAAAAAGAGAACCCATGCACGCATGAAAGGCTGCATTGAAATGGCGTCTGAAAATACATACCATTTGCAATCCTGGATACTACATGAAAGCCGTAAATTTGCCATTGAATGGCTTATCTGAATCATCGCTTTTCAGTCATAAGTGTGCTGTATCCTTCCCCGTATCTTATACACTTATCCAGTATACATATTATTTGAATTTTCCGCACTCTTCCTAGGCATTATCTAATAGCCCTAGAAGCCGTGAGTCCTGCAACATTAGCGACTCGTTGTGTGAATAATACCATGCAGAATATATAGTTTATTAAGATCCTCACTTTAAAAGGGCTAACGAGTTAGATTGGGCTGAATCCGAACCGTGGCGCCGAGCCCCTTTGGCCTAACCGGATAAGGCGTCTGACTTCTAATCAGAAGATTGCGGGTTCGAGTCCCGCAAGGGGTTTTGCTTTTTGTTTGTTCTGCGTACTATAATGGCAAAATGCTATTTTTTTTATTGCGCGAACACTAAAGTAAACATAACATGTACTCCGGTATTGTAACAAACCGATTTATGAAGTTGAGCGGTAAAAATCCTTAAAATTAAGGGATTGCGGGGATCACCTCAAATTCTCATTTGCTAATCATGCTGTAATTCGCTATTACTATGTGTGATTATGCAGGAGTTATCTGCAGCTGTGCCAGTGAATCATTGTTTGGTTATTCCAGCGTATAAGGAGCATCTCATTGCTGCTATGCAGTTGCTTGGACTTTATGAGCATGTTGCATTTCACTCCTCACATTATTTATTGGCATTTTTGGTTAATGGGCATAGCCTTGTGGTAGGGCTTAAGAAAAGCTGACGAGATAGCTAGATAAAACCTTTGCTAATTCAACAAATCCAAACACAGTATACGTTTTTCCAATGGGCTTGACAACAGCAGGTTGGTCAAGATCCAGAACAGCCTGTTAGTACATGTTTTTTACTTTGTCTAGCTTTGTTGCTGTGTATAAAATAGCGAATATATGCAGCAGTATGTTTAGTTGCTAAATGTTAAATAGCTATTGCGAGCATTACTGTTGGCGCTGGCAGCCAACTGACATGCTCTCAGGTGCCTGCAATTTCAGGCTGGAAGCATTCTGTTATTCCACATAATCTACAATACTTATCAAACATCTAGATATATTTTAGCCTTTAATGCTGTTTATTAAAAAACTAACCCTTTGGTACTTCCAACTGAGCAAGATGAATGCGTGCATATAAAGGTGATTCTTCAGAAATGTGGTCTTTCATAAGGTCCTTAAAGCGCATATTGAATACTTTAGCAATGTAGTCAAGTAACCAACGACCCCCAGAATATACCAACCAGTTCCGTCGCAACAATGTCAAGTAAGCTAGTGAGCTAATGGCTAGCTGCCATAACGTATGAAAGTCATTTGCTGTCTGTATCTTAGCATTCCATACCTGAACCCATTTCAGCAGGGGCGCGAGTGTGGCAGGAATATTTGATGTTGCATCAATCAGTGGGATATTTAATGAGGTTGGTATTGATGATGGGATGTGGCTGCACTTTTTGACTTTGCGCCTATTTTCCAAGGCAATCTCAAGCAGAATGTTTGGCTCAATAGCCTGCGCGATACGTGACCAAGCCGGAAATAGCTGATCATAAAACTTCTTTTGCAATTGGGCATTTGGCAAGCAAGCGATGTGCTGTTTCAACCACATTATTGTCAGGAGAGCATAGGCAATATTTGGAATGATTTCTCGGGAAAGGAACCTAATCATATATTATCCGCCGGGCTATATTCTGAGCATATGACGTGGTAGTAATATGATCTACCAGAGACCATTTCGGTGCATCCAGCAATGCAAAGTGTTCCTGGTGTGGTAGCTCTGGGAGCGACGGTTTGTTAACAGCTGGGAACAGGACTTGACAAACTGTGGATTGATTTTGCCAGTCAGCAAATGGCACTGCATTCCCCACAGAATTGGTGTCTCCTAGCATCAGATTATAAACCAGTGGTAACTGCTGTACTGCAGCAGAGAGTTTTTGATTGTGTGCTTTGGCCTCATTGTAGAAACTCGCCAACTTGTTAATTAAGGATGTCTGGGCACTCTCAAGGTTAGGCGTGTCAGCACAAACGTGCTTAGCAGGCATGCATATATCAGATGTATCTGCAACTGTGATATGACGACATAGCATATTGAGTTTTTCCCTGTTGCCTTCATACACAGTACGAAGCAAACCCATCTCTTTCAGGGCTTTGGTTAATATGTTCTATTCGAGACCTTTGATATACACTCCTTCGGTTGCCATCAATGGCAAACTAAGCGCTGGAGCAATACCACGCTCCAAACTGATAAACGCACGAGTGTTCTCTGTGTATGTCGCCTGAAACACGTTATCCCAAATCTCTGGCCAGGAATCCTGAAAGTACCTAACACATCTATCCATTTATATAAATGGATTATGCATTATCTTCATAATGTCCTTGATCTCCATGTGCATCAATAGAGATGGCATTACTTGGTCCAATCCTTTACGTCGTTCAGTGATCCATAGACTATGCAGTAGTGTTACCCACACGGGTACGTGTACATTTTCAGAACCCCAGACGATATAATGCATGTCTTTAGCTAGTTGATGCGCCATCTTTGTCAACGTCGTCTGTTGCAGTGTGTTAATATCGGGCAAACCAAAGCCGCCCTCACTTTGCGGAAGTGCCATAATTGAGCAATGGAGATGGGGTTTTTTCCGGTGCCCCAAACCAAACGGGATAAAATACGGGCTGTTTTCTCCAGCTGAGCTTGCTCTACGGGTATAAACTGCATCTGATATGCCAACCCTGGAATCAGCAGCGTTGCAACTGCATTCACTCGGTCATTTAGTGTAGAATTACAAGCAGCTAAGCGAGCAGCCTGGTTGATAAGCTTCAGCAGATATTCTTTGGCTATGCTAGAGTATCTGATATTGCCGATATATGTACCAAAAAAGCGAATGGGTGTGCCATCTGGAATCAACGTAAAGTGATTCGAGAGATGATATACAGCACCATTTATAGGGAGAATTTGTGGCTTGGCCTTGCTCAAATGGGCATTGACCCCTTTATAAATGTTGTCCCAAATGTCGCCTCCAAGGATATTTGCTGTCTGCTGTGGAAAAATGAATGGGCCAATAGTACTTCAAATGTGGCGAGCAATAATATCGGCTATGATAGTGACGCTGGAATTCTGCAAGAAAATTGGCTGATAGTTTGCCAACTCACGGGCGTTGCCTGTGCCCTTGTACTGCACAGTAATATACCCTGCAGTAAATTCTAGGGTTAGCAATAGCGGATCTGTCAAAATGTGATTAGCCAGCTGATACAGAATTTCTCGGGCCTCATCGCAGTATAGATAGAACTCAACAGGCAGTCCGTCTGGCCCTGGTGCCTGGTTTTCCTCCGCCTCATTGCAGGCATCCCAAACTTCTTCCCGCATGATCTCACCAACAAGATTGCTCTGCTCAATTGTAGAAGGCGAAAACGACCGTTTTCTAAAGTACTCATGATGCCATTCCAGTAGTCTATCTATCGCCCAAGGCTCTGTATATGAGTTTGCATAAAGGTCGGCATAAAACTCCTGCGCTAGTTCTGCCATCTTTGCCGAATCCAATCCTTGCTGTTTATTGCTATCCTGTAAACTTTGAATGTGCTCGCTGGATACAGATGGCTGTGGAGCACGACTCACGGTTTTAACCCCACTCTGATTTATGGCTACTATCTTGCAGCCAGTCACAGACTGCCTCTTGACGGGCTGCAAAACTACCTTTATGTAATTCTTTAAGCGTAAGCTCTTCCAAATGTGCACTCTCTATTCGACGCTCCCCTAATGACATCTGTTGGCCTGCCAGTTCGATATATTGCTTGTGTAACTGCTTGACCTTTTCAATCACGGTTTGGTCCTGCTCAGAATCCAATTCCTGACAGTATTCATGCACTCGCTTACTAATCTGAAGCAGAGTATTACAGGGGTTGTCTGTTAGAGCCACTTCTGGCAGTGGTATCGCATCGTGATACATGCTGGCCAAATACTTCATAAACTTTGGATCCTTTAGGCGCTGAGCGTTGAGCTGAGTGCTCCGATTTGAGGTTGTTGCTGAAGAAGATGGCACAGTTAAACACAAATAGACCTCTGCATGATCAAACTCGATTTTGCTATCCTTGGTGGCGATTCACTTTGTCAATACAGTTCAAACTGATGGATTTAGTCGCAAACCATACAAGAAATAGCTAATGCGTGAAACAGATTTGCAAATGATCTTGTCATTTTTAGCGGATTTCCTGTAATACGTGAAGAGTTTGGTACGCGGATTGTTGCTGTTCAGAGGCCATGGCATTAGCATATCAGCAATGTCAACAAGGCCAAGCGAAAAATGCAATCTGTCTGCCATGCGATAATCAAGCTCTCTTCCCACATCATGATTACGGTCACAATAGCAAGGCGCAATGTCAGAATCGCCACCAATAATTATCGACCACCCCTTTCGCTTGTATATAGCTAAAAGAGCCAGCAAGTCCTCAAAAATCATGACGCTCTTGGCCTTGTCTACAAGGAACATGTATATTTACCAGCAACAGTCCCAGCAATGGTGCAGTTACCAAAGTCAGGAATGGTGTGCTAACTTCACGTTGCAGCTCACATTGAGGAAAGGTATTCCGTACTAGGACTACAGTATCATAAACATAATAATACTTGGAACAATCCCTAGCTTTTGCATAAACCTTGGAATCTGGGAACCATTTGGAAAGAATTTTCTCTGGATTAGCCGGTTTCAACTCTTGCAAAAAGATAATATCCACACCTGGCGACTTATTGCAGATGCTAGTGTAGATAGCTCCTAGTTTTCTTGGTGGCTTTGGAATTGGACCCCATGCCACAGATATTTTGGCTAACCAGGTTAAGCGCAGGCATGGAAGTGATACTGGGCATAGCTACTGGAATCTCGAAATCATCCTCCTCCTCATCGAATTATCCCTCAGCAAGATTGTTTCTATCAGGTGGCTCTCCACCAGATTGCTCGTCATCAGGCATATTTCCGCTAGACTGCTCACCACCAGGTGCATCTTCAGCATACTGCTCAGTATCAGCCATCTCCTCGCCGGATAAATCGTTATCGAGCAGACATTCAACATACTGCTCGTCATTGAATGGCTCGTCACCAGCAAGCAAGTTGCCAGGCAGCAAGTCAACAGCCATTGCTTCCAAATCCTTAATTGGTTTAGTTTGTTTCATAGTGTCGTTCTTGTATAAAGCAAAAGCTCAGTTTTTGTTTTGATATTAAACTAAAAAAATATTTACCAGTATCTCTCAAACAGTTCAGCATGTACTGCATCACAGTAAAGCACGTAATACTACTGCATGGACTGCTATCTTGAAACTTTTAGAGAATTTTCGGCCTGGTCCTTTATATTCGGTTTAAATAT